GCTGAGTTGTATATCTTTGCATTTTAGAATCTTTTCTAGTTCTTCCATGACTTCCCTCTCCATTCTTAATCTTTGTCTGATTTCCTGACTGCAGTCCCCATTTCTATCAATGTTTGATTCCAAGTATGGGAATTATTTTACTATTTCTATTGCTTCATTGTCTAGATTGAACTTGTGAAGGTCCTTGGTGATCGTTATTTTTGTTTTCTTGATTTTCAATATTAAGCCTGCCTTTGCACTTTCTTCCTTGATCTTTCTTAGTAGTTATTCCATGTCTTTCAGGTTTTCTGCTAGTATTATGGTGTCATCTGCTTATCTTAGATCAGGGGTCGGCAACCTTCGCTTACCTGGGGCTGGTCCCTTGTGGTGGTCTCTTCCAGTGGGCCGGGGGGGAATGGCGCTGTGTGCGCTCATGCACGTGCGCGTCCCCTGCCGTGTGCGTGCTGCCGCCACAGCCACCTCCACGCATGTTGCGGCCGCCATTTTGGCAAACAATGGTGGCTGTGACGTGTGCGGACACATGGTGGCGACAGTAGGGGTCAGCGGGGGCCGGTAAGTGGGAGTCCGTGGGCTGGATGTGGCCCGCAGGCCATAGGTTGCCAACCCCTGTCTTAGATTGTTGATATTCCTTCCTCCTATTTCCACTCTTCCTTCTTCTGTGTCCAAGCCTGGTTTATAATATGTTCTGCATACAAATTGAACAGATAGGGGGATAGGATGCAGCCTTGTCTGACTCCTTTGCCAATTGGGAACCATTCTGTGTTCTGTCCTGACAGTAGCCTCTTGTCCTAAGTACAGATTTCTCATCAGGACTATCAGATGTGCTGCCACTCCCATGTCTTTAAGGGCATGCCATAGCCTTTCATGATCTGTGCAGTCAAAGGCTTTGCTGTAGTCTATAAAGCACATGCTGATTTTCTTTTGGATCTCCCTGTTGTGCTCCATTAGCCATTGTATGTTTGCGATGTTATCCCTAGTGCCTCTTCCATTTCTGAACCCTGCTTGGACCTATGGGATTTCTTTCTCCATGTATGGTTGGAGTCTATGTTGCAGAATTTTGAGCATAATTTTGCTTGTATGGGAGATAAGTGCTATGGTTCTGTAGTTGCTGCAGTCTTTTGTATCTCCTTTTTTTGTGAATAGGGATGTATATTGACCACTTCCAATCTGGTGGCCACAATTTTGTTTTCCATATCTGTTGATATATGTTGGTTAGCACTAGAGTTGACTCTGCCAATGTGGATTGCAGCAGTTCAATTGGAATATCATCTGTTCCTGGTGATTTGTTTTTCACTATTTCTCTTATTGCAGTTTCCACCTCACTTTTTAGGATTTGGGCTTCATCTTCATATGGCTCTACGTTCCATGTGACCTTCATTTTGTTATCTCTTTTGTATAATTCTTCTGTGTATTGCATCCAGTGTCTTTTTATTCCTTCCTAGTCTTGAATTGTTATTTTTGCTGTCATAGAGCATCCCAGTCCTTGGTTTGAATTTTCCTTTGATTTCTTGGATCTTGTGAAATAGATCTTTTGTTCTTCCCTTTTTGTTGTTGTCTTTTATTTCTCTGCATTGGTCCTTGTAGTCATTTTCTTTATCTTTCCGCATAAACCATTCTACTGGTCCATTCATAATTCTTAGTTTGTTCCTATCTCCCTTTTGTTTTTCTTCTCTTTTTTCTTTATTGCTTGTAGTGTTTTTTCTGTCATCCATGTTTTTCCCTCTTTCTTTTTGTTTATTGAAAGTGTCTGTTTGCATTCTTCATTCACAAAACCCCTCCTCCCACATAACAATTCCAAAACTGAGTTTGAAAAAGGTCAGCTTTTGAACTACATCTCCAAGAATCCTCTAAGCAATATAGCTGGTGGATCTGCCTACTGAAGGATTCTGGGAATTATAGTCAAAAAAAGGTAATATCTCAAAGTTCTTTCCCATATTGACTTGGGCTGGCCCATGCTGGTGTGTGTGTGTTTTGAAAAAATATCACTCATAAAAAGGCAAACTATATTACAAAGCTCACATTTAGTTTGGCCCTTAGTTACATGTGTTGCTTTGGTTCCCCCCCCCCAAATATAGCCTTTGAGCTAATATATGTAAGCTAGAGTGGTACAGGCCAGGCAGATGTTTACCATTTCAGAGAAAAATGGGCTAGGCTTGTGACAATAAGTACAGTATTTTTCTTTCATTGCCTAGGAAAAACCAAGCCATTATTTCCTGAAAATAATGTACTAAAAACACAATTACATCCTGTTACATGGGCATATGATATAAGCACATAATTAGGCATATAATGTGATTTAAAACATGGATTGGGGCTCATTGGCCCCATAGCTCAGTTGATAGTCACGTTCACAACTGACTGATTCCCTGGGCCTTTTCTTTTCACTTTCATGCTTCAATCCGAATGTCAGTCTTGCCAGAGGATTAACAGTGAAACTGCATAGTACAGATAATGTAACCAGAGTTTGGGAAAGTTAATCTTTTGGACTATAGCTCCCAGAATCTCACAGCCAGTATGTTCAGAGTTGTAGTCCAAAAACCATTTTCATTGGTCCTGCAGGGTGAGGGACCCTGGAAGGTGTAGTTCAAAAATAACTTTTTCATTCTATCTGTGTAACATGATCTTTGCTGCTATGTAATTGTTTTTTTAAAGGCAGATGTAGGGAGAGAATTTATCAAGGACTAGAACTACAGTGCAAG